TGTTTATGATAAACTTGATTCTAGATCTAATCTAATAGTACCTCGTCAGTAGGAAAGTACATAAGCCATTCAAAACACAACAGCCTCTGTCCTTGCGGAAGAGTAGGTTGACTTGACACTAACAACATTCTGCAGAGGAAAATGGAACTTGCTTTTATTCATACGCTGCGTTCTCACCGGGAACCGGACGAATTTTCGACAGGTTGAAATTTAGTGCGTTTGGGTGTTCCGTTCACACATAACCACCTTAACCGTACCAAAATTCTGGCGCCTGGCAGTTCAAAGTTCCGTGTGAACAGAGCAAAAATATTGAACCATCCCATGTGAACAAAATGTCTGGTCAAATTGTACAGCCGGTCGAAAATTCGTCGGGTGTCATGAGAAATAGGTTTAGGGCCTGTTTACATGGAGGTGGGGGACCCCAGGTAGGTGAGGTAACCCGCTTACGTGGGGTAACCCGCCTGTCCAAATAATCTCTCATTTTAATGTGATCACGTTTACATGTTAGGTGGGGTAACTTGACACATGTTACCTCACCTACCTGGGGTCCCCCACCTTCATGTGAAATAGGTTTAATTTGGTGTAGGTACTCCAGGTGTGACTTGTATAATCGAAATCCAAAATTAATATCATGGAAAAACGCCTCGTTTGACACTCTTTTGCAGTAAACGTGATTTTTACCTCTCTACTGTGTCATCGACGCAGTTGTCCCTTTCGTAAACGGTCGCAGCCATTTTTTTGACCTGTTATTGAGAGTGTTTCTATGAAAAAGAAAGAAAATCGCAACCCAGGGTCGAACCAGGGCTTTGAACCCGGACCATTCGTATCCTAATCTCTCTCACCTAACAACTACACTACCACACCCACCCGCAAAAACTCCGAAAAATTTAAGTACAGAGTAATAAACTGTCTTTCTTAACTGTCACATCAATAACAGGTGACCCTAGCCCTTTTCGTAAATTTTAACGAAAATTCAACTTAGGCTCCAAAATCAGTCGTTCTAACACTATCCGAAAACGTATTTTTTGCCTTTTTGTAACTTAATCCAGGGAATATATTACATCTATCATGATTTAAGGCTTGGTTACTACTGGTGGCATCGACCGTTAAAAATGGCAAAGACCGTTTACGAAAGGGAAATAGGCCTCTTCGGCCTACCTTAATGGATAGTTTTAATAAATGACGTCGAGTGCGTGGCAATCATGATATGATCAACTGACCTTTGAAGTAGAAGCAATTCATCTCCTTCCAGAAACAAGTCGTCTAAAAATTTCAGCTGAAATAAGGAAAATATATTGCAAGAATCATAAGCTCTAAGTTCATACCGAAAAACTTAATCTCAAAGTCACAGTGACTGCATTAAACGATGAAACAATGTCTGTAAGGGATGAAAAGTTTCAAGTGTTGAAGGCTTAACGAAGAATACTTTACGTCACAAGGAAACAAAAGTAAACAAAGAAATTAGAGTTTAATACAGTGTCTAAGTCAAAAGTAAATTTACTCTAAAAGCCAAAATTCATATGATTGCCATCACGCTACCTCCTGGAATAGCATACAGGCGAACTGCAGTGGGCAAGCATTAAACCACTTGAAGGTAAAACGTAATAAAGATTGTTGTTGTGGTTGATGTTTGGCGATTCTCACCTAGTGAATCAGAGGCAGATTAATTTAAGTTTAATGCAGATTTTTAGGCACTCCGCAAAGGCCAAAAACAGCGTCCTCGGTTAGTAAAATGAACACCGAAATTGTTATCTAAACTCAAAGGCAGGCCCTTTTTCTTGGCCAAACGACACAGTATATACCACTACAACTGCAAACAGCTATCCTGACAAGCTTATTAATCAAGGTGAACATGACCACAAAAATAAACAAAAACTCTGTTAAAATTGCAATTATCGTAAGCCAGTTTTGCTATGCGGTTTCTTTCGTGGGAGGAACAGAGAGTGTTTCTTTTTGGTCTTAAGTGTATGTCCGTAACTTCAGTTTTCGGTTCCCGCGAGTGTGAAAAACAACCCTACTTTTCGGGAGGGGGGAGAGTGGAGAAATGTAGAAGTTATAAACGTAAAATGCACTTACTTTTAAAAGCAACAGGGTATGAAACACAGGTAGGTCTGTGGTTGAGACCCAAGAGATAAACTGAGATTTAAATGTCTAAAAAGAAAAAAAGGAACAGTCACTTGCGTGCTGAAAAACACTACACAAAGAGAAGTCCAAATTTTCGCAGCGGCCGGATAGTGACTGATCACTCAAACAAACCTAAAATTAATATACACAGCTTCAGTTGCACAGCCTTGACAGGTTAACGACTCCACTTTCACTTACAAGAGTACGGGTTTACGGCCTACTAAAAATACAACTGACAAAAATATGGAAGTTATCACTGCTACGACAGAGGCTGAAGGAAAAATAATTAAAAAAATGTTCAACTTACATTTGGTGAAAGTTGCGCAAGTTTAACGCACTGTAACAGCTGTAAAGAAAACCAAACTTTTCTTAGCACGTTCAGCTCTTTATTACAATAATAGCTATTGGTTTGAGCCCTTTTAGATTTCGATTTATCCTCTTCTCGGGTTATTTATATGCATGATGATCTTCACTGAACGATATTTTCTGCACTGAGAAACTAAGTATTAAAAATCCTCTATTATCGTCATTCTTGAACATTTTTCTTGCTATATCTCAGTAACTTCAGTGGAGATCGTGACGCACCAATCTACAACAGCCACCAGCCGAGCTACTTTGCAGCCAGATCTAAGGCACTTGAAAGAACGTCCGATCTGTAGTGTGACATCTGTACTTCTCGTTCTAGGCCTCTATTGTTACTGATTCCCTGGTCTAGGCGGGTTACGTGTATTGTTTATGACCTTTATCGAACTGTTCGTGATTTTGTTACCTCTGAGTCCTGCGCCCCTAACGCATAAAGATCCCAACAGAAAGACGTAAAATAATTGATTACAGGCGTCCCGTAGGACGCAAAGATCGATCGATCAGTCTGAAGATGTTTTTGTAGAACATCCTGTTTGTGTGATTTCTGTAGCCATTCTTGTGGCTGTTGTTTAACGACACATATTTCTTTTAGTCTTTGTTGTGCTATACAATAGAAGGAGTATACTTTTATTTCAGTAAACTTTAATACAGAGTTTTGGAGTCTGTCTTCAGATTAACTGTCTGGTTGCATAAAGGACCAAGCATTTTCAGTTTAGAACTCATTGTTTTTTTGGAACTGGGACTCAATGGTTCGGGACTGGGACTCATAGTTTTTCACAAGTTGAGTCTCAGGACGAACCATAACCGTTTGTAAGAAAATCACTGACTGCTGTTTGCGACAGTTCTCCCAGCAAACGGTGCACTAAAGATACTTCAAAATTAATGACATCTTCCCTTGACGAGTGCATGCATTCACCAATTCCTAAGACCTTTGTAGTATCAATAGGCCTTTAAAAACTGATAAAGCGTTTCTAAGTCATCAGAAAAAAACATCTATATTGACATACTTGGCACATGACATGAAACACACCAGTAGTGTTAAGAAAACCAATGTTGTCCATCAGAAAGGAAATTGTTCGTTTCAGTTCTGTGGTGTCCACATTGCCAGGTAAACTTGACGAGTTGGGGCTAAAAGCGTTGGCCTGAACAAAACAAAAACAATTTCACGAATCATTAAAAAAAGATAACTATTTTGAATCAGCTAGGCCTTAAGGAAAAAAGGGTTCAACTCCTAATGACTTCGCTGTTGGTTTTTCATTTTGTAAAGGAAATTTGTTTCAGCGGGCTTTGTTAAACACAACTTTCTACATCACTTTCATGCAGATTTTAGCCCGGTAAACCGTGAGGGCTTAGTTTTTGAGGCCTCACCTCGCATATATTTCCTTTATAAAAAAGTCGATATGTTGAGCTAGACCAGGTTATCAAGATCTCAGTCGCAGAAACAGCTGTTTCGTTAAAGCGTTCATGGTGAACTGTAACCTAAGGTTGTTTACCATTCACAAAAACGTTCTGGAAAATCCCGTTGGAAAGTAAATAGAACTCGACGACTCTTTGGGTACTACCAGTAGAATTCCAAAACAAATAGAATGTCTGAAGAGGTGGTCGTGTTTTCCCGGTCGAAATGTTCAAAACGGAAAATTCTTGTTCCGCTTCTTTAAGTCCATCTTTGATACCAGTTTCAGGCCTTCGAAGTCGTTTTTTTCGGTAAATTTATAACCCCCGTTCGATATATTAAAAACGACTCTGAGGCCTTAGGGTGAAAACTGCAAATTAAAGACTCCACTGTCTCGCAATTCCCAAAAGAGACTTGAGCACAAAGAAAACCAAACCAAATATAGAAATTGGACCAGAAAGCCTCTCAGTCATGTTAGAATTTTAGTAATATATATCGAACGTGGGCTATTGGACTGTTTTATGTGCGACTTCCGAACGGAATCATTACCAGTCCTTCGGAATTGTACTTACCATTTGCCTAAACCATCAACAGAACAATTTATCAATGTAAATGGTCAACAACTTAGAGTTTCATTAGCTGATGAGAAAACAAATTGCAGCCCGGCATCATTGCCCCAGCTCAAGTATTGACTTGTTCATCTTACCTGAATTGTTACTGGCAAACATTGTTTTGCAGCTTCCTTAGGTAAATATAGTGGCTAGTAAAAAAAAAAAGTACGTCATTACATAGAAGAGGTAGATACGATGATTTCCAGTAAGAAAAGTAAGCAAGAGGTCACAGGAGTACTATTTTTAGAAGCTACCCTCCAAATGTGTAAAATTAATATAGAAGCATCTAGCAGCTCTTTAGAATTTGGTCAACCAAGTTCTCGTGTTTTAGACTTGGAATTTGAAAGCTCTGGTCTTTGATAGGAGGGAAAACTAAGGAATCAAAGAAAAAACTGTCAGAGAGATCAAAGGTCCTGGCAGGTTCTAATTATATAAATGAGCTTCTTTTCTTGGTCTAAGAAGGTTTATTTTTTGTGTTTTAATCCTTCACCGACGCAGCACTCTACCTCCTGTTGTTTACCAAGAAAAAAACACGGCGCTTTATCTATAAAATCCTCTCATGCAGTTTTACTCGGAAACAAGTCGTACCTTAAAGGGTTCTGTGCGACTTGTTAGCAAGTTATTAACACAGTTATCATCTAATCTGTAAGTAAGCAATAGAAATCAATACGAATTAACTACGTAGTCACTTTTTCGAGACACGATGAAAATCAAAACAACATTTTTTCTCAACAATAGAAAAATGAGACATTGAAGCCGATCATTAGGCAATTACATCATCATCATCATCATCTGTTGACTGCTCCATTCCAACCGCACTTGATCTGAGGTTCTGGCTGTTTTTTCTCAAAGTACTCGCAGGTTCCCTTCGTTGTCTCCAAACAGCATTATGGAAACTATACATAAATGTTCAAGTGTCTCACATAGAACTCTACACTCAGTGTCTTAAAATAACTGAGAAATGTCGTTTGGCTAGACCTTCGCACAGCTCGAATCACCACGTAAAATGGCTGTCCCGTCTCCAGTAAGAAACGTAAAAATACTGCCCTCAATTGTTACTTGTCTTAAGTACTAAATACATTGACTCTCAAACAGTGCATTTTTTTATACATTAAGAGAAAAGGAATGAAATATAATTTTACATAATTGCAGCCAAAAGAGGAATTGTAACCAGCAATACTTTTCTTACTTATTAGCAGACTCTTGCAACAGGTGCTCTATGGCATTATGCAACACAGTCACAAACAAAACCTGAAACATGAACATCATGCAGTCAGTCAGCATTGTTACTAAACCTTTTATAATGAATTAATCAGAGAGATATTAATTAAGGAAAAGATAATTAATGATAAAATATTCCCCTGATTAGCAGCACAGCAAATGAAGCAGTTGAGAGAATTTGGCTGATATTTCATGTTATTATACATTGTACTCACCAAATGTCTTTTCATTGGCTAAGAGCCTACAGTTAATTTTTGACATCAGCACAACCTACAGATTAGTTATTCATAAGCTGTGGGTTGGGCATGCAATGCATGATTTTCAAGAGCAATGTCAAACTGCGTTCGGTGCGACAGTGTGTTGATCTTTATTTTCTTCAAAACAATGTATAATGACACATATTTATTAGTTTTGGTTTTTGCGATATTTGGAATGATCAAGGTCTCAGTAAGTGCTATCAGCCTCAGCCTTCAGCTTGGCTAATAAAAAATAATAACTTTTTAATACTCTTACCATATAGCTTTGAAAGATTGGACTGTTTTCAGCAGCGCATTTGGCATAGAGATGATCAAGCTTAGCATGGAGAAGTCCCTTGGTAAGAACAAATTGTGATAAGGATATGTTTAATTAACCAATGGTCTTCTAGGTCTAATATCAATTACTCATTATTTCAAACTATGACTGCTAGAAGTTATTAATCTTTACTGAATCTTAAAACAATAATTATTATCCGGACAGCAAAAAATATTCTGACTAAGGGAATCAGCCACCAATCATTTTCGATTAGGATGATAAAAATATACTCTGTTATATAAATTGTAACAAAGAAACATGAGCACATCAAAACGATCGTATATCACAATGTAAAAACACGGTGCAGCAGAGAGTAATCAAACCTAAGACCCCGGTATGCTAAGCAAATATGGTATCAGGGCTGTGCTATGGCCGTATCTTGTGGCCTCTGGCATCTTACTTTTGCTTGCAGGTGACTAGGAACTGTAACTTTTGTAACTGAAGTCACAGGTTGGGCACTCTAGATTTCACAGGTTCAGTGAGCTGGGCTCCCTCAAATTTCCTTAGAGCACAGCCTTGAAAACCAGAAAAGGCTTTAGGGTCAAAATTGCAAAATTGCAAATTCCATCGTCGCACAGTAATATCCCAGAAGAGACTTGAGCACAAAGAAATCCAAACCAAATATAGAAAAATGACCAGAAAGCCTCGCATTCATATTAGAATGTTAATATATCAACTATGGGCTATTCACTAGAGACTAAATCTACGCTTGACAGCAGCTGAAACAGACAAGACATTTCTTACTACATCACTTGAGTCTATATTTTCACATACTATGTTATATCCTGCTCTTAATAAACTGTATATCCCTATCACAGGGACCGCGGAGCAAGGTGAAAAGTGGGAGGGCTGACAATTGAAAATAATTTTTTCATATTGAAAATCGAAAAAAGGAATAAAATCGTAGTATCTGATTTGTTTCTGTCACGTGACTTTGCATACTTTATCCAGTATTTGTTGCTCTTTATAGGTCGGCTTTAGTGACGATACCGAAATTCTTCATACGATTTTCATTCCGTCCACCAAATGTGTTTGCGATCTGAATCACGTCCAAGCTTTCCGTTAATTTCTTATGACAATTAAGTACTGTCAAGTTGCTGAATTGCTGCTGTTTCATGTTCGATCTCAGCCATGTCTTCAGGCTGAAGTGATCTAAAACATTTCTAACTATGGCCGTTCACTGTTGAAGTAATGTGATTCTTCTTGCCATCGAATATTTCATTGATTCGAAAGGAGAAAGACAAAATATAAAACTTTTGTCAACTCAAAACAACTACTCATCTTCGTTTGGCTTGAGAAAGCTAGTAATTTTCTTCATTTCGTCTGATAAAACTGATAAAAAAAACTCTGCGGAAGCTGGAAGTACAAAACACGCCGCCGAATCGAACGAAGCGAAGGGGCGGCCAAGGCATGGCGTTTGATCAAGGGGCAAGTCGGCCCCAGGGCACAATTACCGCAAAAAGCACAGGAGCCCCACAAAATGCCTGGCGTTTGAAATTAAAGAAAATACAGAGAATATATCAGAATATGGACGGAAAAAAACTTGTTTCAAGTCTTTTTTTTTATTTTAACTATTTTTCTTTTTAGCGCAAAAAGTGGGGGCGGGGGCGCAAAAAAGTGGTGGGGCCGCGGCCCTACCAGCCCCTCCCCCTCCGCGGTCCCTGTATCATGTTCAGCGTGCAAAGAAAGTCGTGTCCAATAGCCCGGGGCTAGTGGATTTTGCTATTGGGCTAGTGATTTTTGTTCTTAACTTGCCCGACGGGCAAGTGCTGTTGTTGGGGGAAATTCACATTACAGAAGGATTGTAATCAATCCTGTTAATCAAAAAGGGTTTTGGGGCTAGTTGAAATGACTTGCGGGCTAGTAATTGCTAGCTAGAACTCGCCCGAATCACAGTCTGTAGAACTGACTTTCTTTGCACCTTGACGTTGCATCAGAGGGTGGAGGGAGGGTTAAGAGGGGAGGGGAGGGTTAAAAATAATATTGTACCCTAGCCAGTGATAAAGACACAATGAAAGCGACAATGATACCGGATATGACATTTCCAGTTCCCACAGGCATTCACATGCAGTTTTCCTGACAAGCAAGTTGAAAGGATTATTGACCTGTTTAGACAGAAATTAAAAAGACCATGACCACACATCTAACTATTATAAATTGTCCACACAGATTGTCTATTTCAGTATGACAAATCTCAATGCTTAGGAAGAACAACAAAAATGTTGAGGTTTTCTATTCTACATCATAAAATACTTAAGGAAAATTACAGCAAAATTTTTCCCGACAATTTTCTTCTTACCATTTCTATAACATCTGTAAGAACTCCTGCAAAATCCACAAAAACATCTTGACTAGCTTCCTGTCATTTGAAACAATAATTATTGGCAAGGCAGTTGTAAGTTAGTTTCAAACATTAATATAACTCTTACAAAAATATATAAAAGTAGAGTTGACACTTTTTCAAGGGAAATTCACCACTAGCATGTTATGTTCAACTTACCACAGTTTCTGAAGATATCAGGATCACAGTGCCTGTTACAAGAATCTAAAAAAAAACCAAATTCCAGAAACTTTCTATAAAGCTCAATGAAATTCAGTCTAAGTTAAACTAGAGACATTGCTGGCCTAAAGGAGGCACTTCTGTAGCTTTGCTGGGGCCGATGGGTGTTTTGTAGTTATCTGTTGAGGTCAGACCATTAAGTTCCCATTGCTGCTCACTGTACATACTTCTAGTGATCTAGCCTGCAATTATGCTTGGTTTCACTTGTCAACAGTGTGATGATGCCTGGTTCTAGTCTTCTCATATCAGGATGAAAAACTGTAGGCGTCTCACAGCTCTTTTACTGTTCTGATTCTTGTGGAACGTAAAAGAACCCACACTTCTGTTCATAAAGAGTAGGGGGCGTAGAGCCTGGTGGTGTGGTACAACCTCTCATGGGCTGGGTGGGTAATGAAGGGGTTGATATCAATTGGGACATTTGTCCTGTTTCATCCCCCGTCACAGCGTTGAGTTACCATGATGAATTCAATAAAGTAACATAAATTTATGCCCAGCAATAGGCAAATCATTGTTAACATTTTCTGTCTCATTAACATACGCTCATCATTAACTGATGAAGCTAACAAAAAAATTCTGAACATTGAAAGAGCATATTAAACAACTTCAGTTATCTCTGAAACTTGAGCCCAATAAACCAAATGGTTTTGGAGAAATTCTCTTTTAAAAATTCAAAATTTTAAAAAGAATGTATGGCTGACATTAACTTTTTTGCCATGCAGCAATTTTGCAGTTTTCGATGGCTGATATTTCCTGCAATATTGCATGCAAAGAGCTGAAAATTGCACAAATTACTCAAGTTAATCAGCTCTTTCAACTTTTGAATTTAGTTTGTACCTATGGCCACGGCCTCTATGAGTTAAGTCATATGCTAATGAGATAAAATGTAAACAATGAGGTCAGCAAAGATTCACCTCCACACTGTCTATGTAAGAGCTTCTTCAAATCAGTTTTAACATTTTACCTGGCTGAGAAAAATTTGAGATAAATGTCCAGGGGAATGGGCAAACAAATCCTTCTTAGAGCCTGTTGCTTGTTCCACTCTGAAACCATCAGACACCACACAAATAATGTAAGAATAGCAAGCAAAAAATAGCAGATTTTTTAAATGTTTCCAATCTAAAGTACAATTTAATATTTTTCATTCACTGCTAACAAACAAATTACTATGACTGATACTAGCAATAATATCAAGTTTCATAATATTCACCTTGGAATATTTGAAGACGGAAACTTTGATGTCTGCATTGGGAGATAACATACATTTCTTTTGTGAGGATGATGCTGAATACTTTTAACGTAAGAACATTGCAAAAGTTAGATCTTTTACCAAAATACCAAGAGGGAACTTGGTAAAATTATTACCTTTTTTTACTATTATTTTTTTCTAATTATTAACTTTTCACAATAACAGACATTTCACATACCAGACCTAGGTAAACATCAATCATGTTTTTAAAGGGAATGGTAAACATTTCCTTCAGTGAGCCAACTGCACATTCTACACTGCAATTTGATTGAGAAGCAGATAGCAAATAACTTCAGATGCTACAACCTTTCACCAACAAAAAACAACAGATCTAGAATAAGATGTAGATTATTCAATTCATTTTTGATTAGAAGAATGTTTACCTGTAACATTGTTATTTTAATTAGTACATGTATAGACCAAAGCAGTGAATAATGCTTTTTGCAAACTCTGATTGGCTAGCTGGGAGGTGATTATCCTGTGCTATTTACTGGTCTTTTATGATTTGAGTAGTGAACTAGAGGTGAGGGAAAATGACTCATATTTATATTTTATGCTTTAGAAAACCAGGCTTACTTGTAGCCAAAACAGGGCTAACTCACCCTCCTTAGTGACTTAAGCTGTACAAGCAAATTATCTTTTTTTACAATAAAAGGCACAAGGGTCATCTGGGTCTTACATTGGTCATGTTTGCAAGAAAATATAGTTCTAGGAGTGATGTGATTTATTTAAAAAAAATGCATTACCTCACTGATTCTAGGAAAAGACTTGAAGCCTGCATAACAAAACAGCTAAAAATTAACTCTGACAATCAGCTGAACAAGACACTTGGCGTGTAGCAGGTTCAAAAAGATGATGATGAAAACAACTTATTGATCTTTTAAAAGATCTAAATGCATTGGTTTAAAACAAACTGACCAAAAGAATCAAAGAATCATATAATATTTTAAAACCTGCAGCATTTAATTTCAAATACACCTTCTTATAAATTCTTTGATATGTCACAGTTTGCAATGAAGAGAACATTACTCCTTAATTTTGGCCCCAAATCTCGGCATTAATTTATAATTTCAAATGTGAAATTATAAAAATTGACATGGCAAGTTATAAAATGTCATGAATAAAGATATCAGGGCACTAGTTATGACGCTTTACAAAACCAAAACACTTGAAAGAGCACATCAAGAAGGATTCTATCAGGTATTTTGTTGAAAAATTCTGAAAACTATAAACTTAAGCCAAATTTTAAGCTCTAAAATGATCACTGTGTGGAGTTCTAAATCGATAATTAATTCAAAGAACAATGTCAAAAACCTATGATTGTGTGCGTAATTTGTCACCCATGATATTAATAGGTAATCAAATGGTTTGATATACTTGGAAATTAAGGAATAATTTCACTATTTGATTGGCATAACTAATATCACCTATATACTATACAGTTACTGTATTTCTTGTGCAGGATTGTACCCCTGTTCAGAACACAAACAACAGTTATTTTAATATTGTTCAGTTAAAGACAAGTTTAGTTAAGCTTTTTTTTTATAATGAGCTGTGAAAGTTTCACTCTTGTATGGTAAAATGACTTCATTATTCAGTCCAATCATAAATGATAATGTATCATTATTGTCAAGTCTCACACATTGTAGTTCATACCTTTTCTTGAATGAGGAATAATAACTGGAGCTTCAAATTCTCGGGAAGGTTCTCATGACAAAGAACCTACCAAATATATATAAAAAAATACAATGCAATATTACAATATGATTTTCAAAAGGCAAGCACTGTTAAATTTTTATAGTACCCAAGTGTTTAAAAGGTGTTTTTTAAGAGCCTCAGAGCTCTCTTACTTATAAATAATGTTGTCATAGTCTTACACCAAGCTCCCCAATTATTAGAAGTGCAAATGTTAATTTTTACAAAATGCATCATTCAATTCCAACTGCACCCATCCCCCACTGGCAACTGTGGGGCATTTGCAGGGGTGGGGCATCAGTACATTGCAGGGGGAGGGTGTCATGGGTGAAGCTGGAATTGTTTGATACATAGGATTTTAGCCAAAACACCAGCTACCTGAACTTCAATTCCTGTCACTAATTTTCAAATTTCAGGGGGCTGGTTTTTCCGCTGAAACCTTCTGAATAGGGGATATTGACCAAGATTAGGTAGGTTTCAACTCACTGCACCAAACTCAGATCAAAGTGATTGTAAAAAATGAAACGAAGCAGAAGTCTAAACCAAGTATCAACTAGCGGTCTTCTATCTTAATCTCGAAAAATTGTCAAAACGTACCTCAATAATGTCCAGTACGAAACTGTGAGCGGTGATTTTTCTAGCGGCAAGAAATTTCTCCGGAGAGCGACTAAATTCTTCAAGGTTTTTAGTCCAGTGGCTTACAACAGAGTTCATTTTTACCCAGTCTTTTGCTGCACTTAAAATAGTCAAACTACAGTTTCTCTTTGGGATGATCAATTCTAACCTTTACCCGATATCTTTTTCTTGAGGGAGAAAATCCCGTGATGGCCGCCATATTGTTGCTTTGGAAAAGGAACTGGGGAGAAGGTACAAGAGAGACTACAAGCGAGAATAGAAATGTTGGGGAGGAGAAGGCATTCAAAACTGGAAGGACTTAAAAGAAAAAAGAGAAGCTTAGAACAGCTCTTGCGTCATTTTACAGAAACAGAGGTATTTAATATTTATGCATGTTTTTTTGCTAACTCAATAAGAATAGAATAAAATCATTTGAAATATTCAAAACGAAAACATTTAGCCTTGCCCTCCCTTCCCCTCAAAAATAAAATCTCCCGACTTGACTCTCCGCTGACCGCATGGTTTGATGCGGGAGAGGAAACGTCATTCAGCAAGCAACAGCAGGATTCAACAATTTTCTTTTTCCCGTCCCTGCTTTTTTTGTAGGGCAGATATGGAGCTTGAGTTATTGCCTGATTTTAAGGCGTTTTATTTCAGAAACGAGAATGTTATTTTGAGAGTACCATTTTGCTTCTGTCTGCAATTGGCAGTGTATTTTGACAAGCATGTGAAGGAGTCTGGCGAAGAGACAAAAATTTGGTATGAGATAGCTGGTATGTACATGTATGATCTTTGACACGGAGCCTGTAAATAGCGTGATTTCCTTTCGCTTCGAAATTTTCTTTATTTTGTACGACATTGTGCAAGTTATTCATTTAAGACTGTATGTAGACAAATTTATGTTAGCACTGTTTAATTTGAATTTTTGACGTCTGTGCAGACGCATGAATTTCCTGTCTAGATAGATATCAGCTTACGTCTTGTAGAGCCTCGCTACCTAAAAGCTCTCCTTTATTTTTGGTTAGTTATGTAAGGTCATGATTTTTGTTTTTGAGAAGTGTTTCGTTTTTCCAGAAGTTTCCTTCGGACACTTTAGGTGCACTTTAAATATGACAAATTTTAAATGAAGTATCAATACACAGGCATCCCAGTCTCTTTGGGAATTCATTAAATCTCCATAATTTCGTAAGAAAATGTGTAGGAAGAAACACAATATTTCCTAGGTTCTGACTTTTGAAAAAGATCAAAATTTGATGTAAAAAAAAAGTAATGAATCAAATTAGTGTTGGTGTACTAAAATTTCTCATGGCACTATAGATGTTGCAGGTCAAAGTTGAATTCAGGTTAAAATTTTTTAACCTAGGTTGATTCTCAATTTTCTTTGTCTCCTAGCCCTAATTCATGAATAATTAAGGCTATGAGACAAAGGAAATTGAGAATCAACCTACAATACTCGTCAAAAAACTGGAAACACTTGTGTTCGTTTCCCCTTCCCCAATGTTGATTTCGGTATCACAGTGGTCACAGTGCTTCAAAATACACTTGGCTCAACATTGGGGAGGGGGAAGGCACATTTCAGTGAGGAAAACAGTGTGAAGAGTAAATCTCAGGATTTTTCCAGAAAATTTGAGAGAAAAGGTACCTGTTTCAACAATTTGTGACGAGTATTGTAGGTTAAAAAATTTTAACCTGAATTTTGACCTGTAACATAGACAAGTAAAAAATTCCTAAACTGGCTAGGGAAACTTCTTTGGTTATTTACATGTACCTTGCTAGAGGAAGGGTGTCAACTCAAGAGGCATGTCGCAGCAACAACCAATGTCCTTGGAACAAAAAACAATTAAAAGCCAAGTGCATGAATTGTGGAAATAATATTCCATGATCATGTGCCACATTCAAGAGAATGATCTGTATAGGTTTTCAAAAAAATTCCAAAAATACCAAACCAAAATATTCAGTAAATATTCAGGCAATCTTTTTGGTGTTCACGATTTTCATAGTTCTACTGAAATGATTTATTTGTTTTTCTTGCAGCCATTGTTAGTGGCCTGGTTGGTGCCATTGGATTGCTTACAAGTCTCAGCTACCTTCAAAAATTTTTTGTCTGGTTTATTGAACAAGTTGTCATTGTTATAGCCTTCTTTGCAATTGCTACGTACTCTCCACCACATCCAAAGAGAGATGAAGCTGACACAAAGGAAAGTTCTAACCTTGACAATTCATCTTATCTGGGAACCATTTATGGCTCTTCACTTTTATATACCCAAGTCTTGATTGCTGTCAGTATAGCCATTGCACCTCGCAAGTGGGTCAATACAGTAAACACCAAGCAGACAGTGGGAATGTTTGTTGTCTGTCCCATTATTATCCATTTTGTGACATTACCATTTGTTAAAGCGACAGCAATGTTGCGAGAGGTCTGTTTGGCCTACCTTTTGTTGGCCTCAGTAATCCAAGGTTATAAAGCCTGTCTTGGACTTTTACAACTTGTTCAAGATATTCCAGGAGTGATTAAAAATGCTTGCAGTGTTGTTGTCAACTTTGGATGGTTGGATTTTTTTGTTTACCACTGGAAGAGAATTAACTTAGGAAGAGTTCTCATGTTAGCATGGTTGATTAAGTTTATTGGCAAATTTTGTCAATTTGTGAAATATGGTGTATTTATTGCCATTGCTGGAAGCATAGTGGACTGTTTTGATAACCTTCAAGACTTAGCAGGAGCTAGTATTGTTGTTGGAGTAGCTGCTAATTTAGCCCTTGATGCAGTGAACAAAATCCTGAAAGGAAATCTTGACAGGCCTATGGAAGAGCGTCACCAGGAAGCATGGAATGACAGTGTATCTTTCTTCCTTTTGGGTTTACAAGTTGGGCTTATTGGCTTACCCAAACCAGAACGTCTGATGTTAATTGGTCTCATTGTATTTGTTACAATCTCACTGTTTCTGCAGTCTGCTTATGAACTTACTGAACCAGTGCTTATGTCACTAGGGGCAACATACACTGGTGTTTTCAACAGCAAACATTTGCGCACTTTAGCAGTTTGTGCCATGGTCCTACTACTTCCTGGTTATATGGTTATTGTGTTGTGTAAGCTATTCAGCTTTGATGCCTGGTTATTTGTGATCTTATCCAGTAATCTAGTGACTATTGTTCAAGTCATGGGTTCCCTCGTTATTTATGCACTCTTTGTGTCAAATGTTCATTCAGAGACTCAAGTTAAGGATTTGGATGACTATGTGTATTATATCAATGCTGGCTCAAAAATATTTGAGTTTCTTGTAGCTGTGGTTGTTTTAGGTTACACTGCTTGGGCGACCATAACTGGAGAGTGGAATTACATAGGTATGTCTAGTGAACAGCTTTTTAGTGTTACATGTATACCCCACGAAAAAAGATCATGTCATTTTACACCCAGTTCATGCATATTGTACCTGGAAGTAGTTGAGATGTGCTTTGGATCATGCCTTTGTCTACATTTTATGGTAATTTTGTAAGAGAAATCATAAATTACATTGTATAAATTATATATATTTTTATACTTACACAACGTATCATCATTACCACCATCATTTTCCTCCAGTTTTACCCATGTTCTTATTTTCCTCCTTTAGGCGCTTTGGTTATTACAATGCATGCCTACTTCAATGTGTACAAAAGAGCTCAAGAAGGATGGAACAATTTTCTGTTAAGACGCAGTGCTGTGAAAAGACTTAACTCCTTAGAGTGGGCAACAGAGGAACAACTTCAACAGCTAAATGATGTATGTTGCATTTGTTATGAAGAGCTGGATAGTGCCAAAGTAACCAGATGTAAGCATTTTTTCCATAGTCTGTGTCTGCGGAAGTGGCTTTACGTACAGGACAAGTGCCCTATGTGCCATGCTGATATTCTACCTCAGGATTGACTATTGCCAATCCTGCAGCGAATGGCAGCAGTTGGTTAAACAACAAACAGCAGCTAGGATGTATTTTATGGAAATTTTGTTTAACTGGGAAATAAATCGAATCTGAAAATTAATGTGGGCTTTATATTTCATTTTTTTGTGGTGAATCTTTTGGATGTGAGAAAAGTCGGGTACTGTGCATCCTGCCCACATCCATTAATTTGTCATATCACATCATCTCAAAAAGGGGCGTTGGAGACTAGATGACAGCAAGTGACATGTCAGAGAACCATTCTCCATGATACTTCAATGCAGCATTTAAATTAATGTTTTATAAACCAGTGGAATTGTATGCATTTTCTGCATCCCACTGATAAATGGTTGTAACAGTTAGATTATTTTCTGTAGCAATAATCATTTATAGTCTGTCCTCTTTCAATATTGCAATAACTTTAGCTGCTTGCAATGCTGCAGTAATTTTCTTGGATTCAGTTTCCTTGAGTTTCAAATTATTTTGCTTTAAGAGATAAATATCAGAGACGTTTTTTGTCAGATGTCAAAATTCGGAAAACCGTGTACACCTAAAATAATACAGGAATGTTGATTGTACGGTATCTCACCAATCACAGTAAAGTTCAAACATAAAGGCGAGCCAAAAGCCATAAACTTACTGGTATTACTGTTGCTTTTTACAGTGTACATGTAGTTTTTCCGTGCAAGAAAATGACATTCCAGTAATATTTTTGGTTTTCACAATTTTGTGAGTTTTGCACCAATACTAAGCAATTAGCATACTTGATCATCATAAAGATGAAATTCATATATAGTCTTTAAAATAAAGACACTTAATTTGTACTATAATTGTGCGGATCTAAATATCAGTTGCTCATTGCTTAGTACTTGTGTTATGTTAGTAGTGTAAAGAGGTTATATTATTTATGAAAATTAAATATATTTACATTCTGTGTAAATACATGGAGTTCATTGAAGTTGACAGTGCAAGTGATTTTGGCTTGTTATTACAAGCAATACCTGGCTTTCAATACATTATGCTAATCAAGTTTATTACCATAGAAAACATAAAGTCAGCTTGTCTTCATTTTCATTGGGGTTCAAAATGGTACTTATTTATCATTTGGAAAGCATAACCTTGTTTTGTATTACGGGGGGTGACAACTCTAACAAAGGCTGTTTGGGCAGTCCCATGAATAACTTT